CTCTAACAGCTTCATTTTCACATTGCCTGTTTTTTTAGTGTGGGTCTGCAGCCCTGAGAAATAAACTTAAAACTGGAGAAAAACTCCCCAAATTTTAGCCTCACGCAAGAAAACAAAAACATCTTTTTATAAATCTTAGAACCACAAAAATACAAACGACCAAGCTTTAAAGGGATAGCTCCGATTTTTGTTTTACAAACCTGCAGAGCAGATACCCAGTTTCAAACATGTCAAATGAATGTTTAGTTTAATATTTCTGGCTCTGGTTCTTATATGCACAGGTTGGATTACTGTTTGAAACACGAGCTGCAAAATAAACATTTCATCTGTTTTCTGCCGGAGTCAGACTTCCTCTGAGCTTCTCTCCTCGCTGACTTCAGCTTCAGTCTTTGTTCCTGTTTTTGCACACGTTAAACATTTATAGATTCCATATGAACACTCTGTTTCTGTTTGTTTTAGTTATTTGTTACCATCTGTTTTTGTTGTTTCCTTTTCATTTGTTCTCTCAGTTTGAGCCTTTGAGTCTGAGTCTTAACTTATGACCATAACTTGTCACCAAATCTTAATAATAAGTGAGGTTTTATTCTTTATGTTATTTACAAAGTCCTTTTAAGTTTAAATGTCAAGTTAGACTGAAGTTGGACATAAAAGTTGAACCACTCTTCAGTAATGAGAGGTGAATTTATTGTACATTAATCTAAATAACAGCATCCAGAACCTGTAAGTATCTCAGAAAACATCATATATTTATGCATCCGTATGGAAATATATGTATAAATATATGTAAAATATACACAAAACTCAGTGCAAGTATTTTTGGCATCCAGGCAAACCTTTTTTTATCCTTCAGAGAATCTGACTTTATGATTTTTTTTTCTGTTTTCAGAGCTGTTGAGCAAATCTTACATCTTAAAAACAGACGAAGTGATCTGAAATGAAACACTTTAAGATATTCAACAGATCTAAAAACAAGTAATTTTTCTTATTGTTTAGTTTGAGTTTTTCAGACTCCTTCCACAGGGTTTCGACCGTAGAGATAAATGAATCTTTCAACTCATTCCAACATTTATAAATGATCCTTAAATTAAAAAAATATTTTTTTTCTTTACCAAAAGCAACTAAACATCTTTATAGTGTTACGAGTGATGAAAATGAGATTGTTTTAAAGGTTTTCATTGCAACAAGTAGGAAAACAACTTATTTTTTTAAATATTAGTAATTAATGTGTCATTAATTAAAAGTTGGTCGGCAAAATTGGCATTTTATTTATCTACAGGAACAGAAAAGTGACTAAAAAATGTGTCAAACTGTAAAGTTTGACTAAACCAGCCCATAAACACATGACTCAAGCTTCCACCTTGTTTTCAATGAATTTAGCAAAACAATGTTTACATTGAGTGCAGACCCGCATTACAGTTTGTGATGAGAACTTTGAAATCAGACGCCTGAACAGGAAGTGTTCTGTAAACCTGCTATTTAACCACACATATAAACATTACTAATAACTGCTTTCCTTAATTAACAGACACATTTTCTACTGTTTCTACACTGTGCTGCTGTTTATCTGTAGTTTCAGCTGATGTAGCATTAAAGCTGCCGTAGAGCTCGTAGACGAGGCGTGATTTTAGCTTGTCAGTTTTTAGGTTCTGATTTTCTGCTTTATCAGCTGTTTTTTTTATAACTGACTACGTGTGCTTTAAAACAACTCAAATGAATGGAGCTGCAGGAGTGTTGCATCAAACACATGAACGGTGCTTTCATCCAACTTTAAGAGAAATTAGAGGAAAAAAAGGAGTTTGTACAAGAATCTGCAGTTTTGCTACACATTTTAATTTTATTTTTTGTTTAGTTTTTCTGTTTGTTGTGTTGCCCTGATGGAAGTGAAACTTTTAGCAGTTTTCAGAGATAAGTTTAGCATTTCTTATTTGTCTAAAAAAAAAGTTGTTTTTCTGTAGCTGTTTTCACTGTTTTTTTTCTTTTTTCTTTTATCTGTATCACAGCTATTTTGTAAGAAACCACCTTTACAATAAAAATGCGGTGAAAAAAAAAAAAGCTAAATTGTCCTGCTTCTTTTTTATAAGAAGTGAGATTAATTTAATAAGCCTCATGCAGAAAGGAAAAAAAAAAGATTTGGTATCAAGAAAAAATAATTTAAAAAGGACTACAAACTTGTGTTTTGTTGCAGTATTTCACTGTAAGTATCACTAAAACTTTATCCACCATGTTTGAGAATCTGAATTTACAACAGCTTAGAAGCATTTATGATAAATATCTAAATGTACACAAAACTGACTGCATATTTATCGCATCAGCTGGAAAAACTGGAAAAAAAAAGTTTTTTTATTGCACCAAATCAGGTAAAAGGTTTGAAAAATAAAAAAGCCCATGAATCCGTAGTAAACCTACAA